CATCTCGCGACATTTTTTCTTGATGCATGTTTATTTCGGTCTCCAGATGGCGTTACAATGCTTCCAACCTTCATGCCTGTCGCAACTCAGGCTGCAATCAAGGGTTTGACTGCTCAACAAATGGAAGCCCTCGGGGTCACGCTCATCCTGAACAACACGTATCATCTTAATTTACGCCCAGGCTTGAATGTTCTTAATGCAGCTGGTGGAGCTCATAAATTTCAGGGCTGGGATGGGAATCTTTTAACGGTCAGTGTCGCACCTGCTCAATATCGCATTCTGTCGAATTCATATGATCATGACTGGCAGGATAGTGGCGGGTTTCAGCTTGTTTCGCTCAGTAAATTCACTACCATCACTGAGGAAGGCGCTCTGTTTTCAAGCCCGTTTACCGGGGAGCCCACCATGCTCACAGTGAGCCAATAACAACGCCAAAATATCACTTACATTAATTGACTCAATTCAGCCAGAAGAAAGCATTTCAATTCAGCACACAATCGGTGCAGATATTATCATGCAACTTGACGATGTCGGTTCGTCAAATTCGTTTTTCAAGAAAAAGAATATTACTTTGACCAACAGTAGTGTCCAGCCTAACGACCGGTAGTCGCGTCGAAGAAGCGATGGAACGTTCCGTGCGATGGCTTGACCGTTGCATTTTGCAGCATGAGAAATCTGGCAAGAAAGGCGCACAGAACCTATTTGCAATCGTCCAAGGAGGACTTGACCCGTTGCTTCGAGATAGATGCTTGGATGCCATGATTGAGCGCCGAGACGGCGTCGCAGGTTATGCTATTGGTGGCTTGAGCGGTGGTGAGGAAAAAGGTTTGTGCATTTTCTCCTAGATTCTAGAGATAGTTTGCTAAGGACCCTGGCAGATGTTTTCTGGAGAATGTAAGTTCCGAACCTATACGGTGGCGAAACAGATATCTTAAACCTCAACTTATTCAAGCATAAAGCAATGTGCGGACAAGCTACCAGAAGAAAGTTGGTTGACTTGAATTTCACGGATTATGTTGTCAAATTCACTGTTCCAGGACCTAGATATTCCATGGGAATAGGGTTTGCAGAAGGTACACGCTGATACTGCTTGCTCTATTTCCTGTTAATAAATGTCATCAGATCTACTTGTCTGCGTTGCCCTAGGGGTGGACATGGTGAGTGATGTTTTTTCCTACGGCATAAATCAATTTACAGCGAATTACAAGGCCGATTGTGTGTTCCCCACCCGAACCGCCCGATTTGGTGTTGCTCTCACGCACAATGGACCAATAAACTTGAGTGCGCCTAGCTATCCAACATCGAAACTTTTCTTGATTTATCTAATTGACACAAGAACTCAACAAGCATGCGAAAGACTTCAGGACCATAGATGAAAACTGCCCTTGCCCGACTTGTAAAGATCGAACGAGTCGCGCTATGCTGCACCATATTGTCACTCATGAGACGGCTGCAGCCCATGGTATTTTCTATACTTGAATACTCGGCGCGTTATTCTGACTGCCGCTCTAAGCCATCACTCTTCACAACATTGTTTTCCAGGCTCAAGTAATGGGTCGCGCCAGAGAGGCCATCATTGCTGGTAAATTTCCAGACTACCTGCGATCTTTCTTTGCTCAGTACTTTGGCGATGCTGGTTACCCGGAGTGGTGTATAAATGCTCTTCGCAGCGTTGGTGTAGACTTATTGGAAGGCAAACCGAATGCCAAAGTCATTCTCGGGAACGGAGCAAAATGGGAATACGCAACTAATTAACCATGAGGATTAAGCTTCTATCAATAGGAATATTGTGATGCTAAAAGACTGATTAAACCCTTTCAAAAAGGGTATATTAAACGCCGGTGATGTTACCTCTGAGCAGGCATCATGCCCGTACAAAGATGTGATTAGCACTCTTGTTATGGATGTTTTTAACCCAATGATATGAAGTTATCGTTTCCCTTTCCTTCCACCGGAACGAGCGGGGCGAGCATTCTTTGCCTTGCGTTTCTCTGCGATTTTCCTGTCTTTTCTGATTTGTTCAGCGGTCTTAAGTTCTGATTTGACTCGCGTATATGACTTTCCAAGGTGAGATCCCAACGCCTTGCGTCCAGAGGAGTGCTGCGGTTGGTCTGAAGAAGCTTCTGTCCCATCTGCCTTCTTCTTTTGTTGGCGAAGTTTCCGGTCATAGTCTTTGCTGAGTTTGTCCAGGGGCTTGGCAGAAACGACCTTGACGTGCTTGAATCGACGGCTCCCAGACCCTATTTGATTATTACGCGATGTATTTTCTGCTTCTCCAATCCTCGGTAAGGTCACCCGATTCTTCATTTTCCATTCATCAAAACGACCACTACGGAATGTCGCTGGTAGGCGTGTGCCATTTTCCGTCCGAACCATTTTAACGTTGTTAGCACCAGCACCATCACCACGAACAAATTTTTTCTTTTTCTTGTCCCATATTTGTTTGTTGCTCCGCTCTACCTTTCCTTCATCATTCGTAAGATCGAAGGCAACGCTCTGAGCTTGCTTGACGAAAGATGAGGCACCATCTATCAAGGAATATCTGCCCAGAGTGTTAGACGTGTTTGGAGACTTTCATCCATTGTTGCTCACCCTTTCTCAGTCATTCCATCCTTCTGGTAATGCGACATATAGAACTCGTTGTCTCTGTAAGTTTTCTGTCCGCCTTCAAAGCTAAAAGTGGCCTATTTCGGGGTTAATTCTTTGAAAAAAAGAAGGGGGGAGATACTCACTGCGATGTCATCCTCGTCTGCCATTTCAATATCGTGCTTGTCTGGCAAAGAGTCCCCAGTCACCGGACCCGCAATCGGGGCATTCGAGATAGCCTTCTGAGCTGATTTGGACAGCGCTTTTCTTCGTTCTTTCATTAAGGCTGCATTTTCGGAACTTGCTTTCGAACCAATTTCGAAAACTGTTTCTGATGGAGAGAATGAATTCAGGACGCTCAGAAGGTTTTGTCTAGCCTTCTCTGCTTCGCCTCGGTCACCTATGCCAGAAGCTCTGAAAAGAACGGGATGTACCCGAGAGTTTGATGAAGACAAGGTCCATTCTGGGGATTTTATCATGACTTTGGCCCGTTTGTAGCTTTGCGAGCTGGCTTTTCCTTTGCTACGCTCGTACATGGAGTGTCCGCGCTTCATCACTTCCCTGAGAGTGGGGAGGGAATGATGCTTAGAATCCAGGGATCGAATATATTCCTCATCCTCATCTATCTTTTCACGCGGAAAACTACCCAGAACCAAGGATTCAGTGTAATGTTGGTCCTTTTGAGTAGGAATATCAGCAACTATTGGCCTACCAAGGAATAATTGCAGATCCAGCAGATAGGGTAACTCGGAAGCAGTGATAAAAGACCACGCCCAGCCTTGTCGACCTGCTCGAGCCGTCCGCCCAACACGATGTACAAAGACTCTTGCACCTTGAGGGAAATCATAATTGATGACGTTTTCAAGAACGGGGATATCAATGCCTCGAGCTGCAACGTCTGTTACCACCAGGATACTCGTCAGGCCTTTGCGAAATCGATCCATCTGGAGAGTTCGAGCCATTTGGTCAAGAGATCCGTATATGTGTGAGACCGCATAACCAGCAGCTGTAAGAAGATTTAAGAGATATTCGACGTGGTGTTTTGTAGCAGCGAAAACGAGTGTCTGATGAGGTGCGACGTCAGACTGTTTAAGCTTGCCACTTTTCTTGGTGTCTGTTTCAGCGGTTGCATCTCTCCGAGAGGTAACAGGTACTTTGATAGCATCACGAAGGAGCGATAACAGACAAGCATCCTTTTCGGCTTGTTTTACGGAGAAGAAAGCCATCTTTAGATCAGGACTGATTTTGCTTTCAGAATCCAGTCTCACGAGCTTGGGATCTTGAAGACCAGCTTTGGAAAACTCCACGAGAGATTTTGGCAAAGTTGCGGAAAAGAGGATTGTCTGACGAGAGGTCGGAAGGCGCTTGACAATTTCAGTTAATGCAACCTCGAATCCCATCTCAAACAGTCGATCTGCTTCGTCGAAAACGACGCACTCCACTGATTTGAGATCCAGCTCCATCTCGACGGCAAGATGAAGCAGTCGTCCAGGAGTGGCAATAATGCTAAATGAAGTACGATCAGGCTTTATATTTTCGCATGCTCAGTGATAAGAAAACTTGCATGTCTGGATTGCTGGTTATCATTTCAAATTGTTCATCAAGACTCTCGCCACCCACTATCAGACCCCAACGTAAATTCTGGCTTTTCTGGGAATCGACGTCGTCTTTGTCACCTGCATGCTCGCCTCGACCAGAAGAAAATCCTCGGGCCAATTCTTTTCCCACCTTTAACACTTGTAATGCCAGCTCTCGTGTAGGCAATAAAACAAGGGCGCGAGCACCAAACGAAGTGGAATGACGTCCCCCAAGTCTCTGCATGAGTGGGACCATATAAGCAAGGGACTTTCCTGAACCTGTGCGTGCCATTCCTACAAGATCACGAGGGGGGTTCGAAAGCAGAGCAGGTATGGATAGGCGTTGAATGGGTGTGGGTATTCTGTAACCCTGCAGTGTTAGGGAGCGCAAAAGGGAAGGGTGAAGTCCTGATAAATTGATCAGATCTGGGCGCAATAAAGAAGCAAACAACGGACCCATGCTTTGAAAACTGCCGCCACCCACTTCGCCTTTGGCAAGTTTCGACTTGCCTTTGGAGTTTTTGACAAGTTGGGCACCCTCCTTAATAGACCTTTTGACAATCGAGGCTTGAATAAAGTCTGCAAGGCCTTCCTCTTCTTCTTCTGCATCCAACTTGGGACGTTTGCCAGTGATAAATGAGGAAATATCGATCTTGTCCAAGTCCTCAACGTCCGAGGACGAAGAATAGCTATCAAGTTTTCTTTTGAGGCCAGGCATGTTTAACGTTGATGGTTGGTAGTAAAAACAACAAATAGAAAGTAAGGAAATTTGGCGGCAATGTAGTCAGACAAGTATACTTTGACATTTATATAATTACATTTGTAGCGTTACAATGAGGACCCCTAGCTCAGTGGTAGAGCGTAAGATTCCAGTTCATTGTGTTGGAAATTCCTTAAGGTCATCCGTTCAATCCGGGTGGGGTTCAACTTTTCTAGATATTTATGTCTACATGTTTTGTCATTTCTTTGTATGCCTCTTGACACGGCGGACAAATAGCTGTCAAGTTGTTGCTGGGTGTGTCATGTCAGTTTACGTAGCGGTTACCAGTCAAATGCTATACATGTCACGTTCTTTGCCAGGCTTTCCGAACTGTGACCGTGTACAGGCTTATGCAAAACGGACTACTTATATGTCTTCCATTCATCTATAAATTTCGACCAAAGTCTCCATAAATCTTATTCACACTCGTAGTACTTTATATTTACTTTTTTTATTATTAGCTTTCCGGCAGATAAATTCAAACTGGGTCAGGCAAAAATCAATACTCAATTAATACTCAAGGGAAAGCATCGTGAATGTTTCCATTACTTGAGGGTAAAAATGCTTACAACTATGTACATAAGGCTAAATTCAGGAAATTTAAACGTGTTCAGAATATCCTGTTGGGTCTAATTCCATGGCTAGCTAAAGCGAGCCACGACCTTGGTGCGCCCGGTTTCCCGATTTGGCTTCCCGACGAGGTACACCATGTCACAAACACAAATGTGACGAATGGCCAGTAAACACACATGAATGATGACACGTCGGGGTGCGACTTGACACCTATTCGTCCGCCGTGTGAGTGAGGAATGAAGTGATTTCTGGATTTCCTGGGCCCTTTCTCTCAGGTCCCACATCAATTTACACAACTTATGTACAATGTGGTCATAAATTAATCCAAACCTGCCTACCTACCCCATCCAGCTAGTAAAAGAATACTAGGATTTCCTTTGTCTCCTGCTCCTGAATCCAAATTCATAATTAATTTACTATAGTAAAGGTCTCGAGATTACATGGAACAGAGATACTAAAAGCCCTTGTCCATACTCAATAGGTTAGTAATGTTACACACCAAATTCAGAAGAAAAATCAGTGGATTGAAAACATCTGCAACATAGAACTCAGACAACTAAAATTAAAACACAACAAACATGACAGTGTATTCTAGGAAGAAGATTTGAAAAGCAAACTAGACTTGGGAGCACCCCATTGGACAGGCAATCTTTCAGATTTGAGTGAAGGTGATGGTCGAGAAAACACAAGAGAACTACTAAAGAGTAATGCAGTCAGCTACAGGATGTTCTGGCAGGATGGAATAATGCCTTACCTTGCAAAAGCCAGTTCTGGGACTTGGCTTTTGTGCATGATTGGGGAACGAGGATCCACATCATACCCATATGTCATTTCCAAACCCAACAAATCTGGATGTGGTGATACCAAATAAATGGATGAATCACCTACAGATTCTGCATCTTGTAAATGCACAGAGGGTGATTGAACATGACAATTAGAAATACCCAATGTCCCATACAAATGTGTCAGATGTGCAGAGGCTGGTTTGGGCATGACCTCTACTAAAGATTCTGAAACAAAAGTATTCAGTGGTATATCTTCATTATTCAATGGAGACAAAGGTTGAAATTCATCTGAATGATGGGGTCGGCGTGGATAGGATGTTAGCCAAGTGGGGGTCTTGACAATGACATTTGATGCCTGTTCATGGTCTTCTTGTCTTGCTGCATGTGATATAATGGGGCTTGACATTGTAGACCCTAAAGAAGGCTGAGCCTGTGCACCAGTTCCAATATCATGATTCTTCTTGAAAACGGATTCAATAACCTCCAAGCGATGGAACCTTGAAGACGGCTCTGAGGCAGATCGAGAAAGAGCCGGGCTCAACAATTGAACATGGGCAGAGGTATTGGAAGTATATGTTGGCGTCCCTTGAGAATGTAAGGTGTCATTGCTCGTCGCCAGTCTTCTGCTGATATTTGGAGTTATGCTTCTATCTGTGGTTCTGCTCGGGCTGTTCGAACTTGCGTCACTCTCAACAATCCTTGTTTCTCCACGTGCTTGTGCTTGGGCAAAAATACGCCGAGCCTCTCCTTCAGTCGGGAAGCTTTGGTGTAGAGCCTCGGATACACCTTTAACAAGAGGCCCAGCTTCTAACCTGTGAGAGGAAACATATCTAGCTGAAGAGGTAATTCACGAAATTTATGCTCACCAAGTGGGGAACACGCCAACGTCCTTACCAACTGTCACGACGTACCATTTTCGCTTCGCCATTTGTACTTGAAACAAATTGCAGATATCTTATAGCACGCGGCTGTCACGAACAGTAAAAACAGGTAGAAACGGTCAGGCGCTGGTGGGAGTAGTTCAAGAACAAGGATTAGTCCAAAAATAGCATTGTCGACTCGTAAATAAGCTATGGGTTTGGTTCGATAGCTTCAACTTCGAGCTCGGTACCGAGACTTTCGATGACTGGAGGAGTCCGCGAGTCTCTTTCCATCTTTATAATAATAATTTAATTGCCCAAATGCTAATCCGGATCCTGTACGACGGAAAGACGTCATAGCCTCTCTTCGAATATACCTAGACCCTGCTCAATAGCAGAAAAGTGGCTGTCTTAAAGGCGATTCTATTATTTAATCCTTTGCGCACCAACGGGCATTGCGTTCATCGATACATCAGATGAGGATACTCATAACCTGAAAGCGCGACTAATTCTAGGCTTGGCCTTGCTTTGCCAAAATTGAAGTTGCCCAAATTTGCCTAGCCTCTACAACGCGAATCAGTTCAATGCCTTTATTGCTTTAGTATTCGGGCACCGTGTACCTCGCTTGATTGAGGGATATGCGTACAAATCTTGCGACCCAAAAGTGATGTCAGAATCCTAAAGGATTGAAGCCAACAGCAAACAAACGATTATGCATCGAAATTGTCATGTAATTATTTCGAGTAAGTAGATCTAGATTCCTGTGGAATGCGACAAGTCTCATAGCCTCATACAGAAATATAGCCTCCACGACTTGAAGTTCTCCGAGGTCGTACATCTGAGCAGAGATGGGAAATAACGTCGCTGAGCATATATGGCATTTCTTTCCAAAAATCGCGATGCCTGTCAAGGTGTATTAGCAAGGGGCAGCAAAAATACGTATATTACACTCACGGAATCAAGTCGTAGCCAGTGGCACCATAGGTCGAGTAATTGTAATATGCACCCAGTCCGAGGTAGGCGGCAAATGCGAGAAAAAGGCTGTTGTCAAAAGCGTCATGTTGTGTCAATTCCTGTTGAATGAAGGACTTACACTAGGAAAAACCACCCTATACCGCTGCCCACGCTTTCCTTCTCTTTATCCCTATCTACACCATCATCACCCCCGTCTTCATCTTTATCACCACCGCTTTCTTCTTGGAAAGGACAGCCTGCAGGACCACTCCATTTCAAATCCAGCGTTGAACCATCGTAAGCCACAAATTCGGGATCCGAAGTAGCTTGTGGGTCGCATATCAAAGTGAGGTTTAGCGATTGTCGCGTCAAGGAAGAATTAGAGGATGACGGATATTCTGCTCCGTGCAACTGTAAAATGAGATGTTTCGGTGCTAAATATGTGTCTCCGTCAGCATAAAAGAAGATATCAGGGAAATGAAACCCACACAGGCTTGCAGAATAGGATGGGTTCAGGTTGTTATTCTGGGCCAGGGGAATGACAGCAACGACACGGTCGTTCTCATCTGGTTTTTGATTGATTTTCGAAAGACATGCCCTGGTTCCCGAGGGACACTGGAATTATATTAGCATCCTGTGCACACGGGCGTCGTATGCCAGTTTGCGCTGGACAGACCTGGTCATGCTCAGGTATTCCTTCTTGCCGAGTTAGTTCTGCACATAGGTCAAATCTTAGGGAATCAATCATGGTGGTTGGCGGTAGTTGGCGCGTTCTGTTAACGACATGTTCTCCAGCAAGTGACTGCAAGTCGAACTTCGTGTTGCCAATAGAAACACGGCAGTCAAACGGTGTATCTGCCGCAATCAGTAATGAAGAGTCGAAAAGAAGAAAGGAGAAAAGGAAAAGTATTTCATATGATGTCGACCGCAGAATCATAGTCCCTGGAGCCTGAAGGTAGCAGAGCAATTCAAGGTAACACGTACGGCAACTGCCTCGGGTATTTGTTCGTATTTGGCTATCGCGTCACTTCAGTACGCGACGCGTCAAGCACTCGAGTTGCTTTGCTTGATCACCAATCATCAATAATGTCCAGTCTTGAAGTCTTAATCCCCTACATATACCATGAGAAACAGCAGCAAGGGTCCATGCTCTGTGCTCAGCATGCTCTCAATTCTCTTCTTCGTAAGTCTTATCTTACTCATGATCGGAATCACAATTTACTATTCACTATAGAGGGGAATTATGTGAGTTAGTCTCCCAAAGACAATTTCAAGCTCATTTTATGCACTGAGTACCCTTCCTAGTTTACCCCTCCCGATCTTTCTGATATTGCTAGAACTCTTGATGCCATGGAAGAAAGCTACGACGATAGCAATACTGGGGAGTCTAGTATGAATATGGACGATACTGGTAGGTCTGAAGTCTATCTTTCGATAATCTATTGATTCGCTGTTGCCATACTAGGATTCTTCTCTGTTCAGGTTCTAGAGAATGCACTGAAAGTCTGGGGTCTAAAGTCATATGCTTTTTACCCTCCTCTTGAATCGGAATGATTAACACTGCTCACAGTCTTACCAGATGGCGCGGGGAAAGCATGCGTCCGTATCACGATCATCCACAGTACGTCTTGGTTCTCCTTGACTTAGATCTCATCCGATAGACTGCTACAGAACTCAATTAGCATTCATATTGAACCTTGAGCAACACTGGTTCACGCTCCGCCGATTTGGGGACGCAAATGCAAACATTGATTTGGACGATGGAAACGGGCATTGGTTCAATTTGAATTCCTTTCTTCCTTTCCCAGAGTGGGTCGGAAAACTCTATCTCGGAATGGTCCTACAGCAAGCAGAAACCGAAGGTCTGTATCAAACACACCATTCATTTTTCATTCACAAATGTCTATTCAGGTTACTCTGTCTTTGCTGTAACCCAAGCGGACGTGGAAGCACCTTTAGCGCTTCCACGCACAGAAGGAGACATAATTGCATCC